GGAAGTTGGTGCATTTTCGGTCAGGAGTGCAGTGGGATTCCCTACATGACTGATGGAAAGGGGGTGCCTGATGTCAAATGGAAGACTTCACATTTTATTTTTGGTGTATCCCTCTTAAAATCTATACTGGAGCCCTATGTAGGTAAGGGTCTGGTATAGATTGGGGGGCTGTGCAGTGACTGAAAAAAAGGTTGAGAAATGCTAAATTATAGAACGTGTGCTGTTGCCCATATATATATATATACACACACAGACATAAACACACAAACACACAAACAAAACCATATACACACACACATATACACACACACACACATACATATACACACATACACACACACACACACACACACACACACACACACACACACACACTTATTACTTTGAGTTCCGTTTTATACAGATCTGCAATAATTTTTATTCCTCCACACATACCACGCAACACGTATAGGATAAGGAGGAAGCACTTACCATATGTTTTGGAGCTGTAGTTCCCATTTCTATCTGTGCCATCAGAAGGAATCCTAGAAAATAAAGACATCTGAATTAGGATGAGGTGCCGTTCTAAACATGAGATTTAAAACGTAATAAAAAGTACAACACAAGACGTGTCAGAAATCACGAAATGGCGGCAGGCAAAGAGCGCGAGATGGCTGCCTCATACAGCACAGAGCCACAGATCATGTATGAACACGGGGAACCATATTATAAATAAACAAGGTAATAACCTCGCCGGCACGGTCCTAAAACCCTGACAGATAAATATACAGGAAATGCAAACCCTTACACATTAGCCGGTGTGTTTCCGTGCTCCTGTACATCCACCTCCACTGTCCGAGTCATGGCGAGCTCCTATATAATACAACGAGCGTTCACAAAGCGGAGTGTGAATACGTCTTCTCCCAACAACCTTGTCTCTATTAATCTGACGAGAATCTTCCAGAATAGGTTATACAATCGCACCAGGAAGGCGGGGAATATGGTGAGGGCTCAGGGATTTGTGGGCCACTATTAAACTCCGTTTTGGATTGGATGGCGGAATCTGTCAATCAGTGAGCTCCGGGCGGTGTAGAAAGGGAAAGAAAGTTCTAGAAAGCAGTGAGAGACTGCCTATGAAGTAGCTTAGCTTGTTGCTACAGTGACACACTGACTGTGTTATTATGTTACACTATAATAGTACCATGTTGAGCGTTCTCAGTTCAAATGGGGTTTAACATAAGTGTTTGACTTTAAATAAAAATGGACATTGAGAATTTTTCAGTTAGAATAAAAGAAAGTGGAGAGTGTCTGCTACTGAATGATACTTTTGTATGTACTAAAAAAAAAACCTATATAGATCAGCCTTTCTCAAACGTTTTTTCGCCATGGTACCCTTTAAAAGCATGCAAATTCTCAAGGCACCCCGTCTAAAATGTAAAAAACATAAATGTAAAAATGGCATGTGGTCCCTCCAAAATCCATACCAAACCCTCATACGAGATACAGGTCTGGAAAGGATTTCAAGGAGGGGAAACCACCAAGCAAAAACACACATAAAAAGTGGGATTTCTCCCTTCACATCAGAGTCTCCTTAACATTACAGCCCCCCTTTCACATCAGAAGCCTCCTGTCACATCAGGAGCCCTTTTCACATCAGAGTCCCCCTCTTTCACATTAGGAGCCCTTCACATCTGAATCCCCCTCTTTCACATCAGGAGCCCTCTTCACATCACATTCCCCCCTTTTCACATCAGGAGCCCTCTTCACATGGGAAGCCCCATTCACATCATAGTCCCCCTCTTTCACATTAGGAGACCTTCACATCTGAATCCCCCTCTTTCACATCAGGAGCCCTCTTCACATCAAAGTTAGGGCCCACTCACACCTATGCATTGCAATATTGCACCCATGGCTGCATTCCTTTTGAATGGCACCCCAAAAACCCAATGCACTTCCCTTTGCAGTGCACCATAAGGCAGATTTCTACAAGGAATGCATTAAGAAATGGACATGGGTATTACATGGGCAGGGCAGTGGCAAGATACAGCAAGTGCCAATGCACACCCATGCCTTTTGAATTAACCCCTTCGTGACTGACGACGTACAGTATACGTCGCCAGCATCGGGGCTGTTTAAACAGACTCCCGGCGACTTTTGCCGCCGGGACTCTGTTTAAACTTGTAGAGCCGACTGTCGGCTTTACAACAGAAGCGATCCTGGCGACTTACCTGTCGCCAGATCGCTTCTGCGTCCCGAAGAAGGGGCCCCCCCCCCCGCCGGACACCCCCGCCGTGCTTCCCGGGCTCCGTTGCCCCTCCTACGGGCCCGGGACCGGCGATCTTTGTGTCCGCGGGGAGCTGGGGAGGAGGTCGACGAACTTCCGTTCATCGATCCCCTCCCCGTTCTATGGGACCGGGAGCGATGCAGATTGCATCACTTCCGGTCCCTGGGCTGTCAGTTCTGGGCTCCTGCAGCCCAGGTCTAAGCTATTGAAGTGCGATCTGCACTTCAATAGCTCATTTCTAGTGTTAAGGTGACACTGAGGGTCTTTTGGACCCCCAGCATCACCTTAAAGAGGACCTGTCACCACCATCTGCTATTACATGCATCACCCCCCAGCTCCCTCTCCTCAGTGCACATTCACCACCATCCAGCTCCCTCTCCTCTCTCCTCAGTGTGCACACACCATCCTTCAGCTCCCTCTCCTCTCTCCTCAGTTTGCACACACCACCCTTAAGCTCCCTCTCCTCTCTCCTAAGTGTGCACACACCACCCTTCAGCTCCATCTCCTCTCTCCTAAGTGTGCACCACCACCATCCAGCTCCTTCTCCTGTGATAGCAGTCAAAGTAAAGTAAAAAAAAAAAACAGTTTTTAAAATTAAAATGAAATAAAATGAATCTAATAATAATAAAAAAAAATTTAAAGTACCCCGCCCCCGCGAGCACGCGCGTCGCCACGTAAACACGCGTCGGGTGCGCCTACGCATGAAAACGACGAACGCGCTACACATGTTGGGTATCGCCGCATGGTGTACAAACATTCTAAACTACTGGAAGTGTTAAAAAAGTAATAAAGCCTCCATTTTTTCAATTTATTGAGTAATATGAATCAGTGAAATATTCTGCAGTACGCAGTTTCATAATAGTGTGTGCCCATCACTTACTTTGTTTATTGCTCCACTGCACTGACTCCAGATCACTCTGTGTTGCTTCCTATAATTTCCGGGTGAGGAAGCGCACACAATGGAGACACATGAAGAGAGGGAGCTGGAGGGTGTCGCATGTGCACTGATAAGAGAGGGAGCTGGAGGGTGGCATGTGCGCACTGAGGAGAGAAGAGAGGGAGCTGGAGGGTGGCGCGTACACACTGGGGAGAGAGGAGGGAGAGCTAGAGGGTGGTGTGCGCGCACTAAAGAGAGAGGAGAGGGAGCTGGAGGATGGTGCGTGTGCACTGGGGAGAGAGAAGAGGGAGCTGGAGGGTAGCATGTGTGCACTGAAGAGAGAAGAGAGGGAGCTTGAGGTGGTGCATGCATACTAAGGAGAGAGGAGAGGAAGCTGGAGCGCGCGCACAGAGGAGAGAGAGCTGGAGGGTGGTGTGTGTGCAGAGAGGAGAGGGGGCTGGAGGGTGGTATGTGCATACAGAGGAGAGGGAGCTGGATGGTGGGGAGTGTGCACTGAGGGGAGAGGAGAGGGAGCTGGAGGGTGGTGAGTGTGCACTGAGGAGAGATGAGAGGGAGCTGGAGGGTGGTGAGGGTGCACAGAGGAGAGGGAGCTGGAGGGTGGTGAGTGTCCACTGAGGTGAGAGGAGACGGACCTGGAGGATAATGCGTCTGCACTGACGGGAGAGGAGAAGGAGCTGGATGGTGGTGCGTCTGCACTGACGGGAGAGGAGAAGGAGCTGGAGGGTGGTGAGTGCACACTTAGAAGAGAGGAGAGCGAGCTGAAGGGTGGTGAGTGTCCACTGAGGTGAGAGGAGACGGAGCTGGAGGATAATGCGTCTGCACTGACGGGAGAGGAGAAGGAGCTGGATGGTGGTGCGTCTGCACTGACGGGAGAGGAGAAGGAGCTGGATGGTGGTGGTGCACACTTAGGAGAGAGGAGATGGAGCTGAAGGGTGGTGTGTGCACACTTAGGAGAGAGGAGAGGGAGCTTAAGGGTGGTGTGTGCAAACTGAGGAGAGAGGAGAGGGAGCTGAAGGATGGTGTGTGCACACTGAGGAGAGAGGAGAGGGAGCTGGATGGTGGTGAATGTGCACTGAGGAGAGGGAGCTGGGGGGTGATGCATGCGCACTGAAGAGAGGAGAGGGAGCTGAAGGGTGGTGCAGGTGCCCTGAGCAGAAAGGAGAGGGAGCTGGATGGTGGTGAATGTGCACTGGGGAGAGAGGAGATGGAGCTGGAGGGTGGTGAGTGTCCACTGAGGAGAAGGAGCTGGAGGGTAATGGGTCTGCACTGACGGGAGAAGAGAAGGAGCTGGATGGTGGTGGGGGTGCACTGTGGAGAGAGAAGAGGGAGCTGGAGGATGGTGAGTGTCCACTGAGGAGAGAGGAGAGGGAGCAGGAGGGTAATGTGTCTGCACTGTCGGGAGAAGAGAAGGTGTGTGCACACTGAGATGAGAAGAGAGGGAGCTGGAGGGTGGCGCGTACACACTGGGGAGAGGGAGCTGGAGTGTGATGCATGCGCACTGAAGAGAGGAGAAGGAGCTGGAAGGTGGTGTGGGTGCACTGAGGAGAGGGAGCTGAAGGGTGGTGCGTGTTCACTGAGCAGAGAGGAGAGGGAGCTGGATGGTGATGTGGGTGCACTGAGGAGAGGGAGCTGTAGGGTGGTGAGTGTGCACTGAGGAGAGAGGCGAGAGAGCTGAAGGGTGGTGTGTGTACATTGAGGAGAGAGAGGAGAAGGAGTTGGAGGGTGGTGAACGTGCACAGAGGAGAGGAGAGAGGGAGCTGGAGGGTGATGCATGTGCACTGAGGAGAGAGGAGTGTGGAGCAGGGGGATGCTCTGTCGTGTTATATACGCACACTTGGAGTGTGCACTCAAGGGTGGCTCCATGGGACCCTGTAAGGCAGGGGTGCCCATTAGGTCGATCGCGATCTACCAGTTGATCGCGTAGCGATCACTGGTAGATTGCGATGTCCTCTCCTCCCGCCATGGGGCTTCTCCTCTGGATCCACGCTGCTCTCCCCCATCTGTATGCAGCTGGGATCCGAGGAGAAGTGAAAAAAATGCTGCAGACAGCGGCGGGGGGGCGGAGGAGGGAGCCGCTGTCACAGAAGTTAGTCCAAGCAGTGAGGAGAGAGAGACGCTCGGCCAGGATCTGACAGCCGGTGCCTCTCTCTCTCCTCACTGCTTGGACTAACTTCTGTGACAGCGGCTCCCTCCTCCGCCCCCCCGCCGCTGTCTGCAGCGTTTTTTTCACTTCTCCTCGTATCCCCCGCTGCCTCTGCCCGGGAGAGCAGTGCGGATCCAAAGGAGAAGCTGAGCCCCCTGTGTGCGTGGCCAAGTCGCGGAGGACTGGTACATATCACTAATATGTACCAATCCTCTGTGCAGGAGATTGTTGGAGATTGAAACATGCTTCAGGACATGTTCAAAGACTAGAGAGACATTACACAAGACTGGTAAAGATCAATGCTATACAGTCAGCCACTTTACAAATCAGTGGCCTTAAAAATGACTTTTGTCGCTGTAAGATTCATTATAAAAGGTCAGAGGGAAAAAAAACATACAAAGAGAAAAGGGATGTACAGCTCAGAAAGAAAATAACAGTGTGAATGAAATAAACCATACCATGTATCTTCTACAAGTCAGTTTTCCTTTACTGGCTCAAGTTAGCACCAAAATCCCTAGGGCCACACAGAAAGTGCCAAAGGGCCGCAGGTTGGACACCAGAAGTTTAGATCATTTGGTTGCTCAGAACTAGGAATCACATTAAACTGTTGGCGGTAGATTCCTATTTGTTCATTCAGTAACATAGACAGGAGGAAGAGTGAATGAGACTACCAGTGTGGTGATGTCACTGCACTTGTATTCCACTGAGATATACAAGTCTCCATGCTGCATTGACCGATGGGACTTGTAGTCAATGCAAAACAATGTCAGAGGATCTGTGAGTGAATGACGCGGCTTTGTAGGCAGTGCCTCGAATTAAGCAATCAACACCAGACTGTGTGTGTGTGTGTGTGTGTGTACATGAAACATGGTCCAAAAGGTGAACTTAGCCTTTAAAATGGGATCAGCCACACAGGGAGTGCATTGTTTTCAATGCATCAGCCAACTTGTAAAGTTGCATTGTTGGAGGCAGCTGCAAAGCAGGAAGTAGAGCCTGAGCATGTCATAAGTAAATTTGGCTGCCCCTTTGTACCAGTATAATTACATATTCTACATACAAACATGATTTCCTAAACATTGTCATGCATCCTTTCACATACTATGCATTCCTTAGGGCTTGTTCACACCATTTTCTGGTCCAGATCTGGTGCAGATCTGCAGACGCGGTGCTATGTGTGCAGCGCGTTTTCGACGCATTTTACCACGTTCCAGTTCCTTATTTTTTTGTGGTGTAGGGCTGTCAGCTGTTAACTGCAGTGCGGTGCATTTTCGGTGCGTTTTCGACGCGTTTGTTCCGGACCAGAGAAAATGTGACATGCAGTATTTTTTCTGTCCGGAATGGAACGGATTGCGCTGGTGAGAACTGGAGCCCATAAAACACATAGGGATACATTGGGATGCATTTTTAGTGCAGGAGCGAACTGTTCTGGTCCGGATAGAATCCGGACATCGTGTGAACAAGCCCTTAGAGATTTTAATCTGTATATTATGATTCAGCTCTTATTAAAATGAAGAATGTAAGCTAAAGAGATCCCAGTGTGGACACTATTTGTAAGGAATTTGCATGTTCTCCCCATGCTTGTGTGGGTTTCCTACCACACCCCAAAGACACTCTGGAAGGTTAATTGGCTCTTGTCTAAATTGGCCCTGTATGTATGTGAGATAGGGACCTTAGATTGTAATCTGCTTGAGAGCAGGGACTGATGCGAATGGGCACGTTGCTGTAAAGTACTGTGTACGTTTTCAGCGCTATATATACCTGTAATAAAATAAATACACTGTATAACAATTCATGCACGAGAACGTCATTTGCTCCACTTTCCAATGAGGAATCAGCAATCAATGTTATTTTCTGGGAGTGAAACAGACTCAACCCTACAACTCTACCTACAAATGTAAGTTGTACATTTTCACATGTAAGCCCGCTTTGTAAACCTTAGCAAATATAAGAACACAAAACTGTATGGCACTTGTTACTTGGGAATAATAAACATGCCTGAAGGGCTGCAAGGCGGCAGTGCTCACCACTGCAACATTCAGATATTGGCTGACACACCACAAACTATTGACACTGCAAGAAATGCCAGTAGATGAGAATACTGCCATGTCCCCTACAGCCAGCATAGTTGGCAGTAAGCTTTCTGCTTGATCCAGGTGTACATATACAGTATATTTATAGTTTGGCATCATAAAGTCTTCCTATGTGAGCCCTGATTTTTTTTGTTAAGGTTCAGTCACCCTCTAAACATGGCAGAATAACACAATTGCTATTCTTACAACATATGCAATCATAGCTTGTTGTAATCTTCCTGCACTGCCTTAAAGAGCCAAACATACAAATATATAGCTGCATTCCTGGGGAAGCTCCTCCCAGGCCCACAATGGGCTGCACCATGCAACCAGAGCACTTTGTACAAAGGTTAGTAGAATAGAACAGAGAGGGAGTTGCATAAGCAGTGCTGTGTTCCTCTGCAGCACCACAAACTCCACAGAGACAGCTCCAACCATGACTGCAGACAGCATCGACGATATACTGCCCCAGAATTTTGCCTATGTCATCTTTACCTTCGTCTACAGCTATGTCTTAATTATGTATCTTGGTATAAATGTGGGGAAAGCAAGGAAGAAGTATGGAGTCAAGGTAATCATTCAGGCAGATTTTGCTGCATATGTATTAGTGATGCAAATAGAGTTAATTGTTAATGTATTTGTATTGATCAGTGCGGTCTGTGCCATCAGATATCTTTTATCTGAAGGCACAGGAATGCATAAAAGAATGGTAGAATTTCTTCTTTACTTTTAAAGTGTTTAAACAATTTGAGCTAAGTGTTTTAAACCGCGTTAACAGAATGCATTACAGTGTGTTGTATATATGCATTACCGGCTATTCTGAATGGCTCCCCAACGCACATACAGTATAAACAGGTCAGCACTACAGAGCACAGATGTGAATCCTTTATGCATCGTGCTGTGTCGCCTAAGGCCCCCTTTTGCACAGAATTCTGATCATGTCTGCCTGTCAGTTTTTCAGTTAGCCTATGGGGAGTTGGATGTAAGTGGGCATGTGTTTGTTTACATCCGATTGCCTCCGAGTCCATCTAGGTTTGGTGGTCCTGAGTGGGACGGATCGGAGGCAATCAGACGTATACAGACATATGCCCACTTACATCTGACTGCCTATAGACCTAACATAAATCCGGTTAGTTTAGTGTTTTCCTCCATCAGGAGATGGAGTAATAGACTGAATGGACACAGATGTCACAAAAGTGACATCTGTTCTGTACAGCTTCGATTAGCAGGGTATCTGGGCAGGGAGTCCTTGCTGATGGGCACGGATTTTGCATGTGTGAAAGGACCTTTTAAAGTAATACAGGTCTGTTTTTGTGTTTGCTGAGGCTCTTTAATGGCTCATAAAAAGTGAATGGGTTGCCTTAACGCAACACACATCAATGCATGAAAAATCATGCATTAACATGCACTAAAATCAACCGTAATGACACAGAGGCCTATTTTGTGATGGGGTTCACAATCTGTGACCAAACACCCCGTTTTGACTGCTGATCTGGTATTGCACTGTTAGGTGTTGTCACCATTCACGTTTTTTGGGATTTGCCAATTTGTGTCGCCAACTATGACCTGGGGAAGCTACTTTTTAATGGACGTGACTCTTCATAAGTAGGCCCCTTAGATTTCTGTCCTATTAATATAAAATGTAGCACAGACGTACATGGCAGGTCTTGTAAGTGATCTTGACGACCCTAACTATAACAAATACTGAATAGCATTCCATATTCTCTGCAGAGTTCTGTGCTTGGGTCAGTAAAAATCTTGTTTTCTTTTCCATTGGATTGCTTACCCTGTGCTTGCTTATCTTGAAGAAAAGAAGACTACTGTAGTTCTGGTGACCCTGCTGACCACCAGGGATTCCCTCTCACTTCCTGTTGTGGTTATTAGACATGAAGTGAAATCACCCCAATGGCACAAAAAGCTGAGGGGTTATAACTCTCCCTTACTCTACCCAAAGCTAATTAAAAAAAACTTTAGCTATAGTTCTACTTTAATCTTTGACATGGATAAGTAATTCCTCTTCTACATGTACCTCTGCTACTAGATACTGCTCAGAGGTTGTAACAGACTCCATGACATTGCCATTTAATGTTGCTGCCTGCCACGTATTAGTAACCTAATGAGTAAATAAAAACTGGGCATAAGGTTGTTTTACATTTCTTTGAGAGCTTGTTCACACCGAAAGCATGGGCGTTCCAGAGCGGTAGCTGCTGGAACGCACCGCGATTGCTAAGAAACTTCCCCCCGCATTCTGGGAGGGGGGCGTGGCAGTGCATTGAATTCAATGGCACCACTTCCACGCCCCCCGCCCGCAGTGCGATCGGACACGTGGCAAAACTAAAGCCCTATTTTGTGCGTCAGCAGTGGAACGGAACGCTGGAAAAGTTTTGATCGCACTGTGGGCGGGGGTGTGTGGAAGCGGTGCCATTGAATTCAGTGCACCTCCATGCCCCAGAACGCGGGGGAAGTTTCTTAGCGATCGCGGTGCGTTCCAGCAGCCACCACTCTGGAACGCACACGCTTTCGGTGTGAACAAGCCCTGAAAGCTGAAGGTACCACATACAGTAGCTTAGCCCTAAGGAAGTTTTCCACATTCAATAAACATGCCACTTCTCATGTTCTCTAAAATACTCAACCATTGACCCCTATTAGAATGACCATACTGCCCACACAAGGCAGTACTGTAAGCTAAAGCTGGCTTTACACTGATTGAATTTCAGCAAAGTCAGAAGGACTTGGCCAAAATTCAAGCCTTGACACCCCTACATTGGACAAAATTGATTTTTTTTAAGTCAATTTTTGTTGAAGGAGCTGGACCTAAAAATTGTCGGCTGAACAAGCTGATTGGATACAATCACTGTTCTGGCATTCTGAGAGCTGCAGGCGCCGGCTGTCAGAATACAATTGTCCATCACGGTAGAACAGGGACCTCCTTACCTTCTTGTCCTGTATTGTGATTGTAATGTCTTCCTTATATTGTAAAGCGCTGCACAAAATGTTGGCGCTATATAAATCCTGTATAATGATAATAATTTCTCCATCCACGTGGATGGGGAAATTGAGCGTTCTTTCTCTCATTCAGCACTTGGGGTTGAACAAGAAAAAACTAGAGGTGTATAGTCAGCTTTTCTCATTTGAGTCGAGAGATGCTGCAAATAATGCTTCAGTCCCAAACAACTTCTGAAATGTCCTTTATAATGTCCTTACAAAACCCGCTGCATAAAGCCTCTGTAATCATACACTGCATTTCCAGATAAGGGAGATGACGATATCTTAATTCAAAGTGCAAGGTTGCTATCTTCATCAGGGAACCGACCTGTAAAATTGCAAGTCATGGTTACTACGTTAAAAACAGCCATTACCTCACGTGGGTGTGGTGTAACCAGTTTATCTCGAAATTGACATACTCTAAGCATAGGAATACAAAATCTGATGGTACAGATGCATATACAGTATTGATATGAAAAGTTTTTAGTATGTTTTCAGTTGAATTAGAACTTCAAAGGTAAATATGCAAGATGATTCAGAAATGTCACATAAAACAAATGGCACAGTTCAATATTAATAGTGTATAAAGGTAATGGTTATTGGTCCAGATTCAGTTAAAGGCCATATTAAAGTTCAGTTATTCACTTATCCAACTTTTCCCTTTATTGGTATAATATCTGCTGTTATCTTTGCTGTTTTTATTACAGTATCCCCAGATGTATTCCGACAAAGAGAATGTTTTTAACTGTATTCAGAGAGCCCATCAGAATACACTGGAAGCGTATCCCACCTGGCTGATCTTTCAGCTCATTTCAGGTCTTGCATTTCCGGTAAGTAATCGCATATATTACATGTGGATTTGAAATTTTCTAAATGTAATGATGCACAGCCAAAACCAGCTGTTCACTCTGTCAAGCAGCCAGATCTTTATTAAATGTAACTATATATCTAATATCTCTGAAGGTTCTCATTCATCCAGGTCATGGTATATCTGTAAAAAATAAGTCAAGGCAACTGCACTTGGTGTATTTTTCTTCAAGACGTTCCACTGGACATCCGACCAGCTTTCTCAATTCAGCATTCTGAATTGAGAATGACGGGTTTGGTCATATAAGGGCGCCAAAGAGGAACAAACGGTGTCAGACATACTGCAAACAAGGCATGCTTTGGCCAACCGGAGGAGGAAGGGTCACTGGTCAAAAATAAGCATGTAGATTAGAAAGTCAAGCTAGATTCAGAGCTCCTAATCTGCATGTTTGTTTCAGGTTAAGTGACCCAAAGCATTAAAGCCATTGAATCGGCATGATATCCATGTTAAATTGTAATTTTTAGTGTTAACACTAACAATTGCATATATATATTGTTCATGGTCACTTACATTTGCCTACAGTTTACTTTAGTAACTGTAATAGCTGGCTTTTTGAATATTTTGCAAGTAGAGCATCTTTATTGCTGAGCTTCAGCCACAAAAACTTTCATTTAAAAATGATTCCTCAATAGCCACAAAGGATATAAATCCACTTTGTGGCCATGAAATGTCTTTTGCAAACTCACATATTACCTTGTAGAAGTAGCAGTAATATTATCACTGTGCTGGACGTAGGGACCCAGCAGTTGCACGACTACAGTGGGCCTGTAGAAAACTACAGGAGGGCTAATACAAGACCAGTCTTCCTGCACAAAGCGAAAGAGCAGCGGACATTATTACAGGAAGCTCCTGCACGGAGGCAAAGTTTCACACTAGATTTCAGGCCAGATGTGGAAGAAATACACACCATGATTCAAGAATACACACGTCTCTTGCAGTTAGACAATATTTGCTTATCCTGGAGCTCCACCTTAATACATTAGATATGTAGATGACATGTTGATAACACGTTTATTCTTTCTTTAGCTTGCGTCTTCTGTTCTGGGAGCAATCTGGGTGACCAGCCGGTTCTCTTATGCTCATGGATATTACACAGGCGGTACGTACGACAGAATCTGATTAATAGTTATATTTGAAGGGAACTTTTTGTTCAACTGTGTTTGGTTTTTACCAGGATCCACAAACTGTACATTGGTCAGTACTTCACTTTTCCCTACTTTTCATTTAGTGTATATTATGGAGAATGCAGCCGGAATAGAAGCACCTTCGCTTGGGAGACTTAAGTAAGACTAGGAGGTGGGTGGGCATAGAAGAGAGAACTATGGTTGGGAGATCGTGGCGCTGGAGTCCCCAACATATTCAAGAACACTGTTTACTTATGCAACCTATAAGTCAAATATTTTTTCTGGGTGGATATTCAAATACTTCTTCTGACTGTATTTTAATTGCACAGTTTAAAACAACAGTTCAGTTTAAAGTGCAACTGAAGCCAAAACTCTTTCTTTTAGATTTGGATAGAGTGGAGAGGGATTAGAACACCTGTCAGGTTTTTATTGCTGTCTGTGTCCCCATTAGGGAGATTCACCCTCTCTATTTGTCCTGGTGATCGATATCACTGAAAGTGAAAGAAAATCTAGAAGGGATCTTTCAATTGGGACACTAGTTTCCCTCTCTTTTGGAAGGATTTCCTCTCATAGGGAAATCTCCCCCATGAGACACAGATGGCAAAAAAAGCTGACGGGGTTATAATCCTTCCTTACTCTATCCAAAACTAACAAAAAATCAGTTTTGGCTTCAGCTCTGTAGGTATAACATTGAAAGAGAGCTGTAGATTTCATTGATCACGGACTCAACTCAGGTGTTCTCAGGACAGGTGGGGGTTTAACCCAAAGTGTTTTGGGGTTGTACTGTGGCCTCTCAGTTCTATGTTCTTAGCACAGCTCCTAGGAGAGTCTGCCGGGGTATCTGTATAGGAATCCAGAACATCCAAGCTCCTATATCATCATTTGAAGGACAATTTAAAGCATACTTACTTTATTTGGAAAAGTGTACATGCAGACATATTTTACTCATAGTGTATTTTTTTTATCTTTCATTACAGATCCAGAAAAGAGAATGAAAGGTGCTTACGGATACATCGGTCTGCTTGGTGTTTTAATTTTGTCTGTTGTAGCAGGCCTTCAACTTCTTGACATTGTTTGATCACAAACATGTTGAAGAATTACTTCTGAAATTGAATTACTTCATTTGTATTGACCCATCTGCCTTAACATTTTCTTTTTAAGTAAAAATAAAATGATTTGTTTTCGTTAAGGTTGTACTGTGCTTCTGTTTTTACTTGCAATATAATCTAACAATCTTTGACACTAGAAGTTCAGTCGTCAAGCTACAGAGATCCAGAGATAACAGTTTGAGGTTTGGGAGTTTTTATACTCCTAGTTTTATGAATTTAAATAGATGGTAACACTGAAAAAAACAACTCGAACTGTGGTTATAAAGTTCTGGCATGTAGGTACTTGAATTGAAATACTATACTGTATTGTTTCCATATCCTTAGTTGGCTAAGAGCAACTTCAGATAACATTTGTATTAACCCTTGCAGTGGGGCTACACCCACACCACAAGGGTTAACTGTTGGTTTGGTCTAGGGTCAAAAATAACAAAGTTATACTCATCCGTTCGTCTGAGCCAACTAACTGTGACCGTGCTCCCTCCATCCTGTTTCCTCCTTTTAATGGTATGTCCCTCAGCAACCTAAAGTCCTATACACTGTGTATAGAAAGTGATGACTTATAGACCACTTATTTGACCACTGCAGCAGGGAGGGATAGAGGCTCCAGGAACCGGTCTAAATGCTGGCTGGCTCAGAGGATCGGGTGAGTTATTTTTTTTTTTTTACCCTAGGAAAAAACAAGCACTTAATCCATGCAGTGCAGGGGTAACCCCACTGCAAGGGGTAATACAATTTTAACCAGAGTTCTGCTTTATTAACATACTTTGTTTAAGGAGATGGGCTGCCTTAGCTCTTCCATGCACCCTAAAACCAATCTTGCAGGATGAATGAAAAAAACAGTATAGATGAACAAATCTCCCCCTGTGTACATTGTATTCTGATTGGCTGCAAGCACTGTTTGGCCAGCAATTTTTCCAGCATGTCCCGTTGATAGAAGTCGATCTAATGATCATCCTTTTAACGATGGGCTAGGGCCACCCACAGAAAGATTTATTTTTTGTCTGTATCCTGCTGAATCAGCCGAAATTCTATCCGAGCTTTAGCTTTGGTTAGAGTGTGGAAGATTAAACATTTGTGTCAGGTTTTTATCTCTGCCTGTGACTCCACTGGAGATATGTTGTGAGATTTACCCCTTTTTTTCTGTTTCTGTGGCAGCCATACAAGAGATGCTGGGTAGAGTTTTAATGGTAAAAGAAGACAGAGTCGGCAATTATAACCCTTCCCTACGCTACTAAAAATGTTTGTTTTACTGCCCATTATCTTGTCAGGAAATGAGAGTAAAGGTGCCCATACACTCTTCGATTTATCGTTCGGAAATCTTCCACAAATGGTCTTTTGAACGATAATCGAACAGTTGATGGGACACCAAAAGATTTTTTTTTACTGTAATCCTGCTCTAATTTTCTCAAAGGGTGAGGCTGGAAAACTTTTTTCGAATCGTACAAAAATTGATAGATTATTGGGAAAAATCGTACGAAAAAAATCGCAGCACGAACAGTGCACATGCGCAAACGAAAATCGGTTCTGTCGATCAATGAAATTCGGTGAGTTAGTATTGCTAATGAACGATTATCGAAATCGACACTTGTCTGTGCATGATGGGCTATTTGAGCTAGAATCGAAAGAGGGTTCTTGGCAACAATGAAAATTTCCCATCGAAAATCTATAGGTGTATGGCCAGCTAAAGGCTCTAATAACGGGGCACATACATAATTGCATCTGAAATCCAAATAGGTTAATTAGTACTATCAGTGCCTGCTACTGGAGCGAGGTTACACTTTTTTCATAATGTGTATATACTATTTCTTCTTGTAGTTCTCATTAAAAGCGTTTTCTTCTCCGATAACATCACATGCACCCGTGCAGATTGTCACACATTCTTGGCATCCTGGCGTGCTGTGATGTAAACAGTGCCAGTGGCGGTTGTGGTTAAATGGTAACCACACTGGCTTGTGTATCCTGTTATCATTCACATTTTATTTTGAATACTAAACAATATGGACGTTTAGGTTGAGTCATGATTGAATTAACGATGTATGTTTGGCCATATGAGTTTTTACCCAAACAAATACTAGGTCCCCAATCTTAGATCACCAAGGCAGTTCATTAGGCTTAATATTTGCATATACGGTTAAGTTTGGCATATGCCTAGTGAGAACAGAAAGATGGGAGCTGTCATTTAATTTTTAAAGCAGCAAACTGTGGGGCTGTCATCCTGATTTCACAGGAAGCATTCAGGATGAGAGATCAGACTTTTTAAACTTCACTGATGCATACTTCTTACAGACAAATTACTAATTGAATAGTGAAGCCAGAATCAGAAAGGCAGACCCAGAACCTATTGCTTCATTAGTAATGGCAGATCCCATACAGGTTGCTGTTAAGAATGACTCCATAGCCAATTCAAATAACACGTCCTCTTTATGAAGACATCAGAGGTCTCTAAGACCCCTAATGTCACCTAAGGACCCCCAGAGAAGCTAATGAAGCAGAGATCTACTTCATCAGCTTCTCCCCGTCATCCCTAACTGGAGTGACACTGAATGCAGGAAGTGATGTAGTATACATAACTTCCTGCATTCGGGGACCGAGAAGAGATCAAAGGGAGATCGTGTACTGATCTCCCTTTGATCTCCACTGATAGCGGATCTCAGGACCAGCAGTGGCGGCGGCGGCACCCGCAGCTAGTACAAGCGATAGAGACGCCCGATCGCTTGAATGTAAACAGCCATCGCTGGCTGTTCACATGCTGACAGTTTCCCCACTTGTGTGCGCGCTGGGCGCCGCGCACAAGCGGGGGGAGGGGCAGCACTATGGAGTACACTTTTTTTGCATTTTTAGTTCCCTTATGATACAGGAGTACATTGAGCAATGTACTCCTGTAATTAGTGGCGGACCTAATAACCAAAGGGCCCTGGTGCAAGATTTTATCTTGGGCCCCCCTCCCAAGACGGGGGGGGGGGGGGGGGGGGGGTGTGGGAGCGGATCACACTGGCCCTAGCCCCCCCTCCCCCGCGGTCTCTAATGTTGCAATAGCGTGCTGGACTTACCTGAGACCCTGCAGAGCACACCATAGATCCTGCATAGCCCGCCTGAGACTCTCTATGGTGGGCTCGTCAGGGTCCCAGGTGGCCTGGTCTGGTCGTCGGGATCCCTTTCCCTATATCTCCTACCAACTCTTCTTACCTGCTGCTGCTGGGGCCCAGCCTTCTCCACCCCCCCTCCCCTGTCACCTCTGCCATGCCGCCCCGTTACAGTTGATACCATGTAAGAGGCCCCCCAGACCCCTCACATGGGTATCGGCCATACCCCCCTGATGGCGGTGTTCTATCAAAGGTTGTGGCTACGTTAGAATGTGTGACCAGTGACGTGGTCATACGTTTTAACGTAATCCCGCCCAGTTTTTCGGCGGTGGAATGTGTGACCACCAATAGGTGAAGCATTCCAGCGCTTTCCCAGCTGTTCCAGGGCAGATCGGCAGCGCATGTGCAGGAAAACCGATCTGCCCTGAAACAGCTGATCGGTCCTGAAATGTTACTTCTCTTCGAATGCGATCTTACATTCCACCGCACTCACAAAGTCGGATAGAAGTAACATTTCAGGACCGATCAGCTGTTTCAGGGCAGATCGGTTCTCCTGCACATGCGATTTGCGATGCCGACCTGCCCTGGAACAGCGGAGAAAGCGTTGGAATGTTTTACCTATTCTACCGCCGAAAAACTGGGCGAGATTACGTTAAAATGCGTGACCACGTCACTGGTCACACATTCTAACGTAGTCTCAAACTTTGATAGAACAGAGGCCTGTCTGTAATCATTTAATCAGAGAAATATATTATAATAGGGAACATTACAGTGTAATATTCTCATTAAAATCCACTTGTCTAATTACATGAAAAAAAACAGTACACAACCCCTACCCCCCCGCGCTTGGACTTATCCAGCCAGAGGACCTCAGCCAGAGTTTCGATGTATGCACTGCAAGAGGCGGGGCTTGTGCCACACACACACCTCTCCTGTGACTCACCTCCCCTCCCGCCATCTGTTACTATGGACGCGGCCTGGGAGGGGAGTCACAGGACCCGCCCCCTCACTGAGAAGCCCGTCGGCAGTGCGGGGCCCCGCTGTTCGAACACCGGAACCGTGCACTGCCCCATATTGCAGGACTGGACCCCACTGAGGCTGTGGTGGTGCCCAGGACTGGACCCCACTGGGCCCCCCCACAGCCTCAGGCCCTGGTGCCCCGCCACCGGCAGTAGTTTTGCCACTGCCTGTAATAAAAAATGCTGTCTCCAGACATTACACATACCACATCGGCACCAAGACTGTCACTTCAGCTCCCCCTCGCTCCCCTCTCCTCTGTTGTTTTGTGACATTCACAGGGAGAAAAAAGATAAAGATAGCAGAGGGGAGGAGGGCACTTATTTATTACTGGTATTTATATAGCGCCGACAATAATAGTGCACATTCACCTCCGTCCCTGCCCTCAAGGAGTTATAATCTAAGGTCCCTATGGCACATTCATACATGTGAGGGCCAATTCAGACAGGAGCCATTTAACCTATCAGCATGTCTTTGGAGTGTGGGAAGAAACCGGAGTACCCGGAGGAAACCCACCAACACGGGGAGAACATGCAAACTCCTTGCAGATAGTGGGCTCACCAGGATACGTATTAAGGAACCCCAATGCTGCAAGGCAGAAGTACTAACCCCTATGCCACTGTGCTACCCTCTTTGAAATATATGGTTGCTAGCGGAGATAACATCACGCACGATTACGCTGATGTGTGCACAATATTAGACACCTTTACATATTCATTTTTACATATGCAACTTTTATTGCAGCTACAAATAATACATTAGTGACAGTAATTGTCCATTAATGTGCACACATTAGTGCAATCAGAAATTTCGAACCAATCTCTTCATGAACATCTTTATATCACCAGTAGCATCCATACACTGAAAATGCCCTAGTGACAATAATACTATCTAAAATAGGTCACAGAATCAGTGCAGACTCTCAGTCACAGAATAAAGTATGCAGCAAAAAAGTCATGCAGATAGCAAGGAATTTGGCTGGGGGGTACTGAGCTGCCCGGCTTCTGTATCAGCCTCAGGGATGAGGCTGCCAAGCTGCTCTCCATGTGGCCCGAGTCTGCCTGGGAATCATGCAGCAGCGTCATGTGATGACACTGCACACTCGGAGGGAGGTCCCCAGTCTTATTGTATGTGACAGCGTGTACACAAAGGGCAAACACAGTAAATATGGGCTATATGGGCATGACGAAGCCTGCACAGGGACACAGAGCTGAAAACCAGGACTGTCTTGGTAAACCTGGGACAGTTGGCAACCATGCAGTTTCGCTTTAAGGAGAACTGTAATAAATTTCAGGCGTGACAACACTATATGCTTTTATTTAGGGCTTGGTATTGTGGTGAGGTCCCTTTAACAGCCTGACATCCTGTGCCGAAGAACGCCGATCACTTCCTGCTTCTGTCCATTACCAAAATGGATGCCACAGTTTAGTTTACAGTCTTATTTTTACAAATAAACCCGCGTTTACTGTAGTGTTTAGGATTTTAGAACAACAAGGGGTCTTTGCCACAAGTCATGTGGCCTGCCCGTCAGCAGGGTTTAGCCAAGTTGAGGCCGCCGGCTGAGCTTCCTGTAGTAAGATGGCCGCCAGTGGCTTCAGCCTCTCGGCTTCCTCTGCTGGGAATAGGCTCAAACTGCTTGTGCGTCACTGCATCCCTCAGAATTGTTTATCACCGGCCAGGATCCGTAAGGTTTGTTCTCTTGTTTATTATATTGGTCAGGTTTTGCTGTGATCAGACTAATACAACCGTGCTGGGTAGCTATGTGTTTAGATACCAGCATAACACTATATTAGGTATACGAACGCTGTAAACTCAGGGACTTTCTTTGTCTTGGATACTGTGACCTCCTTCATCGTCGAGGTAGGGTTGTCACGGACTGTATCAAGAACAGGTAGGGGTCATTATTACAGGCAGCAGTAGTGCTTTCCGATTTACAGACGTGATTCATGGGGGTATAATCATGCGTCCCCCTTGTTGTCAGAAGGCTGCACTTCTGGATTTGTGTGCAAACATTTCTTCCCATGCACAAAAACTTTCTCTTGCAGATTTTTACATGCAGATCTGTTGATGGATTGTTTTCAGATGAAGGGTATTTTCATGTGAACCTAATCCTGTTTTTTATTTAGGTGAGGGGGCTTAGAGGCCCCTGTCACATCAACTTCACAACTATGCAGGCTTTGATGCCAGAGCAGTTTTTTTTTGCACACATGATATAATCCACATTTTAGGCCTGAAAATTACTAAAACTCCTAAGACTTATATATTTCCTGAAAGCGCAGACCCTGTAGAATGAAATGGTGGCAGTTTTCATGTTGCATAGAATTAGCGCAACACTTTATCAAGCCTAAAATTTAAGTAGAAAATACACAAGTTAATTTTAGTGCACGAAAAACACAATATAATACCAATATTTGTGTAAAATGTAAACTATGAGGTTGTGCCAAGTAAATGGATAGCTAACATGCAAAGCTTAAAAGCTGAGTGCGCCTGTGCAATGTTCCAGTGCGATCGGTAAAAAAATGCTGCATGCACCATTTTTTCCGATCACACTGGACCGTAACGCAAGCATAGTTATGCCTGCGTTCTCGCGCGGGTGATTGCACTGCGGGTGGGGTGTGTGGCTGCGGTGCCATTCACTCTAAAGGTGCCCACACACCTTGCGATTTATTGTCTGATAATCGCAAGGTGTGTGGAAGGCGTGCGACCGTTTCTACTGTACGGTCGCACGACTTTTGTCTTACGAACATGTTCGAAAACCAGCTGAGAATCTACGATTTTCGGCTGGTTTGTGGCCTGCTCGTAAGATAATTGCCGCACACTGCCCGTTCAGCATTGCGGTCATCGGAAACCCGCCCCTCAGTAGGGGCGGGATTGCGATGGTCACAAGTACGATCTGCCGGTCCAAGATGGGCAGATCGTATGTTTTTTTTAAATTACCTTACAGCCATCGCAAGACAAAAGTCTTGCGATGGTTGTAAGGTCTATGGGCACCTTTAGACACCGCCTCGCCCCAGAACGCAGGGGGGAGTTTACTATGAGATGCAGTGTATATGGTGTGAACAAGCCCTAACACAGGCAAATAGACTCCAGGCAGGTATATCCATCGGCAGTCTGTTTACAGGGGCCCGCTGCTGCTGACGTTTGGCATACATCAGTGATAGTGCAAGGGTTAAATGCAGGATTAATTTTCATGTCTACAGACCACCAAACATGAGAAATAAGACCTCATTCACACCAGACACCCTCCGCCCGCAATGCAATCGGCCGCACGGGAACGTAAGGCACATTATACCTGCGGTCCGGTCCAGGTCGGGTCGAACAAAATGCTGGAAGCACTATTGTTTTCGGACCGCAGGTATAATGTGCTGTGTGGCTGATCGCATTGCGGACTGAGGGCGTGGCTATGGTGCCATTCATCCTCTTCTGCCCCACAACATACTGAGCCAGGCGCGATGCAGTGCGTTCTGTCCAGAATCGGGCTGGAACGCACTGCGTCTGGTGTGAATGAGATTGTTTCATGTTTTGTTGAACTACAGTCTTCTGAGGAAAGCAACAAAAAAAAGGAAAAAAGTTACAATTTGTACATTTTAAGGATTGGTGCTAATATGTGGGGCCCTAGGCACTTAGGCAGTGTTCCAGGACTGCAATTGGTAAAGCAGCCCTGACCAGGAGCAGGTAAGTGTTTCTTTACTCTCTAGAATGTGACTTGATCTTTAGCATTTGTACCTAGGGGTCACATCCAGAAGCACTAGAAGATGAAAGAGAGCTAGGCAGTAGATGGTACTAGTGGAGTATGAATCAGTCTAACGAGTACCGGGAAGAAATGGTGTTCTTTCCTTCAGCAGAGTAGTGGTATGCCTGGAACTGTTTGGTTACAAGGAAGGGGAGTGCTCAGGATTAGTGATGGGCTCGGGCCTGTGCGCAGCTTCACGCGCCGAGCCCGCCAGGAAGCTGACAGGGCTGCAGCGCCAATCACAGGCACTGAGACATATCCCAATCTCTGCAGCTGCGGACCGGGAAAATGTCTCAGTACCTGTGATTGGTGCTGCGACGCTGTCAGCTTCCTGGCGGGCTCGGCACGTGGAGCTGCGAACACGCCCGAGCCCATCACTACTCAGGATGTGCTTAGTTGGCCCGGCTTCAGATAGTAGCATGCTCTCAGCTGCTTATGTTATTTAGATATGCAATACATTCATTTGTTTTTACTAAATAAATAGTTCATGCCATGCTTTTCACATTATGCAAACAGCACTTTCGGATTGCTTATTTGAATGTGAATACATGCTGTAGCTTTGAAAGTTACACACACAGAAAATGTAATGAATCTAGGGTAAAACTAAGGAATCTCGAGCCCCATGTTTAGTGCAGCCAATCCCGTTGTTTTTATAACCTCTGCATGTATGTTAAAATATATGGCGGAACCATCAGAAGTGAACCGTCCCAGTAATACCTATGAGAGCAATGTGCATTACATATAAATGAGATCCATTCAAGCTGCAAGTCACATGAATCATCTGTGGGAAATCATGTGCATACACCACTCCCCTAAATAACCTTGTCTGTATCTACCAGGGTTTATCATGCAAAGTTTTTCCACATCCTTTTTAGGACTGTCTGTCGGTTCACCAGGTATGTATTTCTTCAGCTTAAAATTGGGAGCTGCTCTGATTGTCACTTCACTTTGCAAAAATAGAACTCTATATGAAAGAAATACTTTACATTCCAGTCCCATAGGTGGTGAACTGTATCTTCACTCTCAGCCAGGAGTGATAGAATCCTCAGCATCTGTTGCTTCTGGGTATGTCAGACATGCCTTTACCAAGTTGGCCACCTCAACTCAATGGTCATGCAATACAGTAATGCGAGCATGGGAAGAATTTTTTTTGGCAGGTACTGATGTGATATGTACATGTACTCTGCAAAGTGCTGCACTATGTAAGTGAATAGATTATACATGCATTATTCTGAACATTCTAGTTTCTTCTCATACTCTTGATTTTGGATTGTTCTGTATTGTTTACTGTTCTTAATATCTGCTTGTAGGTCTTTTGAAGATGTCTGGCTTTCTTGACAGCGTACGGTGCTCAGAATGCATTGACTGGGGTGAGAAGAGGAACACCATAGCATCTGTTGCGGCTGGTGTTCTAGTGAGTATATCAGTTTCTATTTACCTCTCTTCTCTTTTTCTGCTAGCATAAATTGTTCCTGATGATCATGTACCAAACCAAACAAGTAATTTATGAAGCTCTCTGAAACTGTTGTTTAAATTGTTCTGTGTATAGGTGATCTGCTACGGTTAGATCTGCATTTTGTATCATAGATATTGTACGGGATCATATGCAGAACTCTTGACAAATAAAACCCCGTCACTGCAAGGGTTAAGTGCTCCTTATGTCTAGGGAGCTAAAATAACAAAGTTATACTCACCCGAACCGTGATCCTGGCTTGCTCTTAGACTGGTCCCTTCAACCTCGCTCCCCTCAGTCTTAAGGTCCTGTGTATAGAACGTGAGGATGCCGAGGGACATACCATTGCTGGAGGGAGTGGTGTAGGAGCCAGCCGGGATCGTGGTCCAGGTAAGTATTATTTTGTTATTTTAGCTCCCTAGCCAAAATGAGCTCTTAACACTTGCAGTGCAGGGGTAGCCCCTCTGCAAGGGTTAGGATTTGATTTGCCCATAGTTCTGCTTTAATTAGGGATTGTAGATCCCTCTGATAAATTGCAGAACCGGAACCGTGTGTCATGAATAAAAGTTTCTTTGCTTATTGCGAGACCTTCCATTTCATTGTTTGAAATTCTTTGGAACAATATTTCTGGTTGTAGCCAGCGAGAAAAAAAAGTTTACTTCAGATTCTAGACTTTCAAGGAACCTATCGATATCAACTTATTGAGTGATCCTTTGAATTTATCGCAGATGTATCTTTCTAGATGGGAATCATTTGATCTTTTCTCAAAGCGAACCTGTGGAGTGATGAAAAAAAATCAAGATGAAAGCTCCATGCAATAGAAGAGCTCTTATACAACTTGACTTATTTCCCCTCTGTTCAAGCACTTGCAGCCTCTGTCAGTTTCTTCAGGATTTGAAAGGCATTCTAGGAGTGCAGGGGGCCTGCGTTTCCTGCTGAACAGGGTGGTTCCATCCTCCTACTCCTACATTAATGCTGAGTCCTGTAGTGATGAAACCATAGCACATGGGCACCTGACACTCCCGGAGATGTTGAATGCCATAGTGATTGCTGGAGGCTGCAGCACTGCAACGGAGAGAAGGTATGACATATGGGCTGCGGAAGAGGTGAGTATAAGAGCTCTTCTATTACAGGGAGTTTATAGCTTGATTTGTTTTGTCACCTCACCTTACACAGTTTCAAAAATGGCTGCACATAAAAAATGTATTACTAGAAACTTGGGGACAGTGTTGGTGTTGTCTATAACATGCATGTTTCTGCTATATGCCCTCACGTGCAGTACCGTAGTAAGGCCTCATTCACACACAACGCAAGAGCAAAATTGTATATTGCGTACATGCGCGTATATATTAGCGTATATGCGTGTGCTATTTGCAATCCCACAATGCATCGTGCGTAATAGAAATGTTAATGATCTGTACGCGCAAACGCGTATATACACAGAAATACCTTGCCCGGACGCATCTCGCTTCCATTCTGTTTTCGCGCATTTTTACACTACGCAAATATACGGCTCCATATGCAGCTATGTGTATGGAGCCATTTATTTGCATATGGTACTATACGCGCGTATATGCGCGTCAGTGTGAATGAGGCCTAACTGACAACTGCATCCTGAGAAGTTGGTACGAGCAACACCCTTTTAAGAGCTACACTGGCCAGTAAATTTTTGCTACTTCGAGATTTACGTACCTTGTGCCCATCATCTCATATACAGGTGAAACTCGAATAATTAGAATATCGTGCAAAGTTCATTTATTTCACGAATGCAACTTAAAAGGTGAAACTAATATATGAGATAGACTCATTACATGCAAAGCAAGATAATTCAAGCCGTGATTTGTCATAATTGTGATGATTATGGCTTACAGCTCATGAAAACCCCAAGAACCCCAAATCCACAACCTCAAAAAAGTAGATTATTACATGCAATCAATAAAACAAGGATTGTACATAGAACAATATCGGACCTCTGAAAAGTACAAGCATGCATATGTACTCAGTACTTGGTTTGGGCCCCTTTTGCAGCACTTACTGCAATCACTTTTGCACGATATTCTAATTATTCGAGTTTCACCTGTACATTGATTTCAGTGTGCTGCAGATGAGGTTATTGCCAACAATAGATTTCATTGCCAGTGTAGCCTTTGACCTATTTTATTCTTCACCTTTGCTCTGATATGTTGCCCTTTTAACAACTCTGTTTTCTTTGAAATTTCAGGTTTGTATAGGAAAAAAATAATCCAGTAGTTCCTCTTTAAGAACATTATAACTTTATACTCCTCTCTTCATTCTTCCAACCCCCGCAGTTAGACGTAAGAAGGCAAGGAAAAACTGAATAGTACAAAATCCTTAAACACTTTTATTTTAAAAAAATCCAAATTAAACTCTGCTGTCTGGGCACCTCCCAAACATTGTGTGTAGCCTGCACAGCACACACTCTCCTGAGAGTGATACGCAGATATTTTCCCAACGTAATTGCATCTCAAGCAAGCAATGGGGACATTGTGTACACCAAGGGTGTATGGAATGCTTTCAGGTTGCCATATTACAAAGAAGTGCTATTTGATTATTATTTTTTATGTTTTTAGAAAATATGTGCCACTGTAGAATAACATGGAGCGGTCTTTTATAATATGTTACACATTGGTTTGTATAATAATTTAAATATAATTTCTCAGTAAACGTGGATCTTTTTTAAAGTGAGAGTATGTGATGAAGTAGCTATTTATGATGTGAAATGACTTGTCTTTTTTTTTTTTTTGTGTGCAGTTTTTCACAGGCTGGTGGATAATTATTGATGCTGCTGTGAAATATCCTTCGCAAGAAGACCTGAACCACTCTTATCATGCTTGTGGTGTTATAGCAACTTTAGCTTTTCTGATGTAAGTACAGTGTGAATGCTGTAGCCATTGCTGTAGTTCTAAAAGCTGATCTTTAGCTGTCCACTTGCCTTCACCTTAGAAATTCTGCCAGCATTACATTAGGTCCAAGTGCAGCGAGAAATGCCATGACACCAGTAAGCATAATACAACTAAAACCAAGCAGCAATATTTGTTTTGTAGTAAGAAAGTACTGTGTTGGTAGATTATTATTCTAAAGTGCTTGCTCCAGTGTTTATAAGGCCCCTTTCACACAGGCATGGATCCTCTCTTGATCAGAGCAGTACAGAGTGGATGTCAACGCTGTGACATCGGTGTCTGTACAGTTTTTTCCTCCATCGCAACTGCAATTACCGGACCCCATGCCAATCTATGGGGAATTAAATGTAAACGGGCATGTGTCCATGTACATCAGATTACCCCCGATCCGGTGAAACGGAACACTGTTCCGTTCATTTCTTTGGATCTGGCCGGAGGCAGGGGTAACCCGGTGTAAATGGACACCTGTCTATTAATGAATGGCTGCCCATAGACTTGCATTGGGCATCTGATCGGGTCTGCTTGAAAAACGGACGGGCGGACCCAATTGGAGCAGCCGTGTGAAAGGGGTCTAGGGCTGTTTTGCTGTTTATTGAAAGCTGAACTTAAACCTGATTTTATTTTGGCCTTTGGCCTTGATTTAGACCTTTCCTGGTCTTTTCCGACTCATGAACCTGCTATTGGAATTATTGATTAAAAGTTTTCTTTTAACATTCTGCATTTTTCTGTCCTGAGATCTGTGAAAACTTTGTGGATAATTGTAGCAAGTTAATTATTATATTTTTACATTAAGTTTTGCTCTGTTGCTTTCATATACATATTAAAGGCCTAAAATGGATACTGTTTTGAATGCTCAGGTGCAGGGTTTGAAAGAGTTGTTGGCTTTTAGGATCCCGGTGGCAAGATTCCCTGCCTCCTGTTACAGCCAGTAGTTCTCAATATATGCCAGTGGGGAGTAGAATAGGGCTGCAACTAATGATAATTTTTATAATCAATTAGTTGGACGATTTTTTTGATCGACTAATAGGATAAAAAAACAACAAATACCATCTATTTAAAATTAAATGCACAAATTGAGTGTTAAAAACATAACATTTACTTCAGAATAAAAACTGCATGCATGTTTTTTTGCAATCGCACTGCACTAAAGTGCAAAGCATGGCGGTACAGCACGTTCTGGTGCGGGTGATCGCACTGCAGGCAGAGCGGCGGCTGAGCTGAATCAACTAATCGAACTCAACTAATCAATAATGAGAATCGTTGACAACGATTTTCATTATACATTTTATCGATTTAGTTGTTGCAAGCCTAGAGGAGACCCCCAGTACAATGTGGGGACTGTATCAAAATTGGAGTAGACAGAATCTGGAACAGCTGTCGATGGTAACCAATCAGTTTCTCTCTTCAGTTTGTTTAGTTAAGATTTGAAAATGAAAGTTGCAATCAACAACTACTCCAGAGTTTGTTTGCTCCAGTTTTGATAAATATCCCTCAATGTGTTTTTGTTTTTTTTCTGCTAAAGTTGAGCTCCAGGCTAATTGCTAAATACACAGATGAGATACATACAGTATATGAGAGCTCATTTGCCTGCCAAAGGTAACTTACAGGTCTTTCCCCATAAGCGGTAGCGGTACACTGATGAGCTCCTCTGGCAATCTGCCTCATCTTCTTGCCAAAGGTAACTTACAGGTTTCTTTACCCATCCCCCTCCCTCACCCCGTGACTGGACAGTGGAAGGAGAAGCAGTACACTCATGAGCTCCTCTGCCAATCTATTTTCTCCTCCTATTAGTATGTTTCTTCGAATGCAGCACACCTGACTGGCCCCTTGTGCTGTTTTTTCCCTTCCTCTATCTGAGCTCTGTGGTACAGGGACTGCAAGAGGTTGCTACCAAGTCAAATTCAGATACGTATGCTACTTGCATAAAAATACATTTTGATGATGTATTAATAATTACAGTGCTGCATTATTTTTCTGCATTTTATGACCTCCTGGAGTTCAGCCTTAAGAAAATAAAAAGACAGGATAAATTGTGATATGAAACCGCTCTAATGGATATCAAGAAAAAGACTGCATAGTTTAGCTACAGAACCATTTTTGATACGCACTATGACTACATGTTTTGATGTACACAGTTGAGTGACAGTATTTTTATTTTACAGGATTAATGCAGTGTCTAATGGACAGGTTCGCGGTGATAGCTACGGTGAGGGTTGTTTGGGGCAAACAGGTAAATATTCATTTGGATTAAGTAGAAATTGAAAACATAAGGTGTATTTAATAATGGAGCCATGTTCTGCCAGATTTATTAACACTAAAGTAAAATCAGTGAAAGATGAATTCTGATTGGTTGTAATGTGTTTCCACCCATTGCATGAGGGTTTTTATTGTGCTAAACATGGCCAATAATGCATACATTTGTATTGTCATTTCAACAATTTAGTTAAAATCATTGCACACAAATTATATCACCATTGTTCTTTATTTTCTTTTTTCAACTTTGGTTTAAAATATTTTCATTTTCCCCCCTATTCTTTCTATTTCTTTATTGGTTGTATACTTTATACTACTGAATATACAGTGCATTCAGAAATTATTCAGACCCCCTTCAATTTTACTATGTTGCAGTCTGATACAGTTATAAATTATCATTAATCTACACTCAGTACCCCATAATGACAAAGTGAAAACAGAATTTTAGAAATGTTTGTGAATTTATTAAAAAATGTATTAAAAAGAAAAAACTGAAATATCACATGTACTTAAGTATTCAGACCCTTTACTTGTTGAAGCACCTTTGGCAGCAATTACAGCCTCGAATCTTTTTGGGTATGACTCAACAAGCTTTGCACACCTGGATTGGGGGATTTTCTGCCATTCTTATTTGCAAATCGTCTCAAGCTCAGTCACTTTGGATGAGTTAATTACAACTCATTTTAACCTGCACTTTTATCTGACCATGTCCAATCCTCCTGTAGGTGGCAGTATAACCCAAAGGTGATAGACTTCCTGCATCATCAAGATAGGGTTGAAAAGGAATTTTTCCTTATGACCCACAATCTGGCCCTGCAAAATCAGCTTGGCTTGGCCACGCAGCCATGCTGCTATAGGGTGGAACCAAGGACTGTGCATTTTTGCTATCCCACTTGGCACTAGTAGTCTGGGCAGTTAGATGTTTTATGGTTCGCACTGTTATTTTTTATAGTTTGCTTAGACTACACCTACAAGAGAAAATCCATGCACACCCAGTTAGCCGCAAGGGATGCTGGGAGTCAGGGAACTAGTGTAACATAGTTTGCTTGCTTGTAATTAACTTACCATGATCAGTATTTATTAAAGGAGAACTATGAGGTGAGTGCTTTTCACTCGCCTCATAGTTCTAGCCGACCTGTGACAATGAGACTGTCACAGGTCGGCTCAGTAGATCGGAAGTGAGCGAACACATACCAGGTTCTCTGCCGTGACAGGGGGAGGGCTGGATTCCCCTCTCCCCGCTCCAATCTGCCAGCGCTGACTGGCGGAACGGACGGGGTAGGGGGCGGGTACAGCTGGCTCTGCCTCTAGATAGGCAGAGCCAGCTGTCACTCACGTAGCTGGGCGGATGCCGTCATCTACGTCGGGATCCGCTCCGGCGTCTCAGTATACCGCGAGCTGTAGCTCGCGGTATACTGAGCTTAGGGTAACGGGAGGACGCTAGTTTGTGTCCTCCCGTTACCCTAAGGAGAACTATGGGGAAAAACACTGACTCTTTTAATGGCAAGTGATACAAGGTAATACTTGTGTTGGATGAGTTAATGGAAGAAATATAGGAGAATTATGTTGAGGTGGGATAGGCTTCCCTGAAGTGATGCGTTTTCAAGGATCGCCTAAAGGTAAACAGAGTAGGAGATAAGCAAACAGATTGGGGTAGAGAGTTCCAGAGGATAGGACACACTCTGGAGAAGTCCTGCAGGCGAGTATGGTGAGGTGGTGACGAGGGAGCTTGAGAGTAATGAAGTGAACGGTTTGGGTGATATTTTGAGTTGAGGTTGGTGGTGTAGCTGGGGGCAGAGTTGTGGATGGCTTTATATGTTGCTGTTGTTAGTATTTTTAATTTTATTCTTTGGGCAAGTGGGAGCCAGTACAGGGATTGGCAGAGAGGCGCAGTGGGAACTGACAGGTAAGATAGATGAGTCTGGCAGTAGCATTCATCATAGACTGAAGGAGGGATAACCTTTTTAGTGGTATGCCAACAAGGATGGAGTTATAGTAGTTGAGGTGAGAGATTAGAGGAGTGAATTAGAAGCTTTACAGTGTCATTTGTTAAAAAGGGGTGAATTTTATAAATATTACAGAGGTTGAGTTGGCAAGATTTGGATAGTGATTGGATCTGGGGCTAACTGGACAGGTCAAAATCAAGGATTACTCCGAGCACCCTAATTTGACGTTGTGCTGTTGATTGTGATGGAAAAGTCAGGTTAGGGGACACGGAGAGAAGGAAATATTATAAGCCATGGGTTTTGCTCACACTGGGATTACATAGTAACCTTATTTACATTTATTTTTTAGGTGCACGTATTTGGCTATTCCTTGGTTTCATGTTGTCTTTTGGATCTCTAATAGCATCCATGTGGATATTATTTGGTGGTTATGTTGCAAAAGGTAGGATATATTCATGGTCTGAATGCTCTGTGTCTAAAATGTTAAACCTTATTCTAACAAGAACCATGCATCTCCCTGTTATCAGCTGCTGTGGCACAGTTTTAAGCACACTTTAACCAGCAGTTTAATCTATTACACACGCTTGTGCGTCACCTTACATCGGCCTAATTTCTCCTGAGCCACATATGTCCACGGACCAGAAACCTACCCAATTTATCTTTTTGTGCAGCACAGTAGTTCGGCGTGTTTATCTCATTGACATGATTCAGGGGCCCATAAAATGAATGGTTTTCCCTAAAACACATGTACAACTCCCGTTCTCAATGCACACAGCAACAGTGTCTGTCCTGCATTAAGCTGCACAAAAATACACACAAATACAGTTTAAATGCAGGACTGTGATTTAAATATAAAAAGTTTGAAATTATATTAAAGCCGTGATTGTGTTTTTCACAGATGCCAAAATAGTGTATCCTGGTATTGCCGTGTTTTTTCAGAATACTTTTATTTTCTTTGGGTAAGTAAATACTGACATACCTAAATTCCTTGTCTTCATTACTTTCTGCATGATACCTTAAAAAGGTCATCTAAAGAGCTTCTAGTTGACATTTCTGGTAACTAATCAAATGGCAGCAAGACATGATATGGCCTGTTTTATTTAACCACTTCAAGACCAGGTGTTTAGACCCCCTTCCTGGCCAGGCCATTTTTCAGTATTCAGCGCTGCGGTACTTTGACTGATGTTTATTCCGTCATGCAACGCTGTACTGAAATGAATTTTATACCATTTTTTGGGGACAGATAGAGCTTTCTTTTGGCGGTATTTAATCACCACTACGGGTTTTATTTTTTATTATAATTAGGGAAAATTTTGAAAAAAAAACGTTTTTTGTAACATTAAGCCCGGAGTGAGTTAAATGTCAATCAACCCAAAATGAATTTGTTTTGGGTAGTTGCTGGAGAGTTAACCCTTGCTGCTAACGACCAACCGAGGTCAGAAGCGGCTTCCTGATAATGTGATTGTGTCACAGAGATCACATGATCAGGACCCCATCTCACCAGCTCACAATTGTAAACGGTGACTAGCAGCCTTTGGTGACTCTCAGCACAGAACAGCAGGCCGGCTGAAGTGTATTTGCGTACACCTGAATTAAGGTACACTCGCCATTCTGATGCATATGTGCATTACGCTGCGGCAAGGTGTTCAACAACCTATATCTTACGGGGACTCTGTTGGTGAGATTTCTGCACTAGGGTTCCTGGCTCTACACACCTGCTGTGGCAATTATGAGGGCTTCCCACCCTGCCTGATGAACGTTTTATGTATTGAAAACTATGGAAATTGCAAGAGAACTTTCAAAGATGGTAGGAACATCATAAAATCCCAGACTGTATCCAAATCCAAACAGTGACAGAAATTATGGCAGGCGCTTCTCTCTTGTAAAGTATTGGAAAAAACCCAAGGGCTGGTTCAGCCCACCAGGATTCACTTTTAACTAAGATTTTACTCGTGGGTGGACTGACACTGTAAATTATGCCCTGATATGAATAGATTTTTGGTTAGTAGATCTTTCAGTCGATGATTGATGAGAAACCAAATTCCCTGTTTTATGTTTTTCATGTTATAGGGCCAGTTAACATGTTTTACTCTTGTATATTTAAGTAAGGCTTTCATAATAATCAGCCAATATGAAAAGATTCATATAAGATATTCAAGGTAACGTGGGTGGGGGAAGGTGTACTAATTTATACCATACAGCTAACTTTCTGTTCTTGTCTGTTCAATACAAGAAAGCTGTCAGTGGCTACTACTGGGCTTTTAGCTGTAAAATTAAAACTGATTTTCACACTTTTTATAGTGTCTCATTGTCCTAAAGCCCATTTTAAAATTGAATGCTATTAAAACTACCTCTCCATTTCAAACTGCATTTGCTAGGATCTTCAACATCTGCCAAAGAATAAAAATCCGATTTCTTGCAGACATTTGTTGCAAAGCCCTTGGCTTCCCTGCATTTGGGTCACTGTTTGCTCAGAAATCTACATAGACATTAAAGTTGAAATTCAACTTCCTTCTGTAATTTCTGCTGAGTTTTCTCTTTGGTGACATGTTTGCACAGGGTGATGCACATCTAAAGGAATTTTAGGGCCCATCCACACAAGATGCATTGGAGCTGTACTGGCCGGTTTTTTTCCAGCACAGCCCTAATGCAAGACAAGGCAACTTGCCTTGTCACAGATGGGCTTGGTGCAGGCAGTACTTTTTTCAGTCCAGTGACATACCAAGTGGTACAACCGCCTCGCTCCTCACTGTGCCCATAGAACTTGATGTAATGTCACTTGTTCTAAAAAAAAAAAGGTAAACAGTGCGATGTGCCAGGCACACCATCCTCTGAGCATTTAGTGCAGGAACCGGTGTGAATGGGCTATCAGGGGTTCAGTGTGCTTATAAGAACCCTGAGACTGATCATGTGATATTATAGGCAGAGCCTCTAACTTGGCATTGATGTAAAAAACATTTGAACAGAAGTGAGTAAGGATATGCATTAAAGTTTGCCACCTACCTTGCAATGCATCATGTTGACCTGGAGGCGATTTTTGTTTTTGTTTCGTATGTTATGGTATTATAACTTTAAATTGATAACGCTTTGAATTCTTATGCATTTTTTTTTTTCAATTCACAGAGGGCTTGTATTCAAATTTGGCCGCACTGAAGATTTATGGCAATAGACTTTACCAACATATTTGGTTTCCATGTATCTTTTTTTTTTTTAATACACATTCCTAGTAATAACATGCAAGACTTTTTCAATTCAGATCTCCTTGATATTCATGGACCTTCAAATATGTTACCAAAAAGAAGAGAGAAAGTGACAGACTTTTGCACTTTGTGTTAAATAAACGTTTTCTTGTTTCTATGTGTGAATTTTGTAAGGAAAATAATGAAATGTTTATTAAAATCAAATACCTGTGGTAACGTGTTTTTTATATTTATTTGTATTTTAATCCTCATGTAAGTTTTAGTATATGCCTACTTACTCTTATACCTTGAGCGCTTATGTTAGCATATGTGTTCCTAGATGTTTTGTTGCATAAAGCAGATATAAAGATTATATTATATTTAAAGTACAATGGAAGTGTCACGGTTTGTTCTTCTACAGTCGAGCTGTACTATAGGTAAAGAGTGGCATTATTTTGTTTTGTTTTCTTATTTTTACTATGTGTATGTGCTTAGTACTGTTAATGCTGCCCATTGTTAGCAGCACACTGGAAAGCTAGATCACTGCTCTTGCACATATAGCACAGCAGTCTGACATTCCATCTACACACTGCTTCAATCAATCAAGCACATGCTTCCTGGGCAGCGGTCTTGATTGGAGCACTGTGCAAGAGGAGTGTTGCACCACTGCATTATATGTTAGAGTAGCAGTCCAGCTGACACCCCAATGGGACTTATTTAAAGTGACGCTAAACTCAGGCGTTAAATCTTAAAAATGTCTTAACCACTTCAAGACCAGGTGTTTAGACCCCCTTCCTGGCCAGGCCATTTTTCAGTATTCAGCGCTGCGATACTTTGACTGACGTTTATTCCTTCATGCAACGCTGTACTGAAATGAATTTTACACCATTTTTTGGGGACAGATAGAGCTTTCTTTTGGTGGTATTTAATCACCACTGCGGGTTTTATTTTTTGTTATAATTAGGAAAAATTACTGAAAATTTTGAAAAAAAACACTTTTTTTTTTTTTAAACATTGTTGGGAAACTGCAGCTGGCTCTGCCTTTTAGATAGGCAGAGCCAGCTGTCAGTCACACAGCTGGGCGGATCCCGGCACAATTGTCGGGATCCGCTTCAGCTGCGGCTTCTCAGTATCCCGCGAGCTAAAGCTCGCGGTATACTGAGCCTAGGGTGACGGGAGGACACTAGTTTGTGTCCTCCCGTTACCCTAAGGAGAACAATGGGGAAAACACTTAACCCCATAGTTCTCCTTTTTCAAGTACCTTTTAACTATTAACAAAACTGGACCTTTTTTGCACATCACTCAGCTGTAGATCCTCAAGTCATCTCTGAATTGGTGCTGACACTGTCCTTCCTTCTGGAGGGTGGCAACTTTTGTTCCCCATGATCCCTGTGTGTGTTGTAAAGTAGCCACCACTCCAAGATCACTCCTGTGATGGACTACAATCTCAATACAAATGAGTAAACTAAATGTTAGGACCATGGAGAACAAAAGTAGCCACCCTCCAGAAGGAAGGACAGTGTCGGCGTGTATTCAGAGATTATTTGAGGATCTACATCTGAGTGATACACAAATAATGGAATAAAACTATCCATCATCCTTAACACTAAAGATGGGACCTATTTGATCTAATGGGCACTTGTAAGGAACTTTTTCTAGTCCACTGGCCCAAATTATATGGGGATTATATTATATTATTTCATTGCCACCAATAACATGTAGTTTATTTTCTCTCACTAATGATTATTCTGAGCTGGAAGGATTTGGAGGTTCATACCTTGAGCATTTGACCTTTTCACATTGCGCAGTCACTAGCTTTTTGGATGAGCCTTCTCTCTGTTTTTAGGTGGAGGTGACACGAGTTGGATTAAATACATGGGCAGGTTACTATTATTCTGGGGCGCTTCAAATTTGTGTGCTATACTTGAGAAACACTAACGTGAACCTACCTATCATTGGCTTTAAATCACTGAAGTAAGAGACTTCCTACTGGCTTGATTTAAAATTAAGATATATATATTGTATGATTGTTATTGGTATTTAAATTATTGGCGAGAAGAGCTGTTGGGTTCAGTATGTCAAAAAAAACTAAATATAGCCTTCAAATCATCCAAGTCTGGAGTCTACAGAACAGAGATCAAATGATACCTTACAACAAAAATAATCTGTTTTGTAATACTCAGTAGACCCTCCATAAGGACTCAAAATGAATTGCAAAACAATCATAACAGAGGACCATGTATCCCCAAATGAAATATGTGTATGGTACAAAGAAATGTTGTTAAACACTATGGCACTAGGTATTTCTATGGCTACATTGTCAGCAAACCAAGTCACCGAACACACTTTGAGAAATGAACAGTGTAGGTCAGGGGTGGCCAAACTCTGACCTTCCAGCTGTGGTGAAACTACAAATCCCATGATGCATCTCTCTCGGGTCATGTTTTTGGCTGTGAGAATCTTGCAATGCCTCATTGGATTTGTAGTTCCACCACAGCTGGAGGGCTGGAGTTTGGCCACCCCTGGTGTAGGTCAAATAATGACACTAAGTGGGGAAAAAAAGGTCTTCAAAATCTGCCAATGAATTAAATAAAAACAGCCCTAAAAGAGATGATGTAAACTTCCAAATTATAATTCTGTCCATGCACTGAGCATTGATGCGCTAAGGCAGGGGTGGGTGACTTCAGCCACCCAGCTGTGCTTTAACTGCAATTCCCATGATACCTCTGGGGAATCATGCTTGTGGCTGTCAGTCTTGCAATGCCTCATGGGACTTTTAGTTCCACAACAGCTGGAGGGCTGTAGATGCCCACCCATGCAGGCAATTGCATATAAAGCTTATAAAAGGTAAGTGTAGAGCTTCCAATATCTTATGACCTTGGAGTATGAGTGGAGAAAATGCTTTGCCCAGTCCCAATGGTTGATACATAGTTCACATTGTTATCAGAAGGTCCATATTACAAGCGACAAGATGTCCATCACGATATATACTGAGCTCAATAGAAGATGCTATATCATTACAGTAAGTACACATACCACCAGTTATTGTAAACCATGGAGAAAATTGAGCAGTCTCAATGTCATCTGGAGCAGTTCGATATAATGTGTGCCCTATCATCCACACTATGTTGTTTCTCAGTGGATACTGGCTCTACCCTTAACTAATATGTAGATCACAATGATATATCTGCACGCCCATGTGGCAGTCACATCCCAACAGGGTGTCTGTTGTAATTTAAAGTGGGCTTCATATAGTCCCATACAGCAAAAGTAGTACATGCAAGAGCCACCTCCAACAGTAGGGATGAGATTCGAGATCAAGTGGATGTAGAGTTTCACCTAAACTTTGCATATTTGCAGTTTACCGAACGTGCAAACGAAAGGGCCACATTTGTTAATTCTGCCTGCCTGCCAGCCAAACCTCCAGGTGCTGCAGCCAAAAACCATTCACTAATTGGCGGTATCATTACGGCTACTAAATAGTGATCTCCCGGTCAAGGAAGTGCTGTGGGTGTTGATTGCAAATACGCTTGTGGATGTCTGCTGGTCATAACCACATTCAGTCAATGAGGATTGTTTTTGTGCGGCAGGTCATCATGGCGTTGTTCATTGTCATTCATGAGGGATCTACATTGATGGGTGACATAGTTGATGTTGGATTGCTGGATTTGCATTTTTTTGGGGGGGGGGGGGGACTATCTAAAAAAAAAAAACTAACAGGGTACTTCACAAAAGGGTGAAGAGTTTGGAGACGGCAGGAGAAGTGAACAATCTAGGACAACATAGCTGAACTGGAAAGTGAGCTGAATTCGAGAATTTTTCCAAATCGGCTATTGTCGTCTAGATCAGGGCTCAAAATTTCCACTCGCCCCCTCGCAAATTGCGAGTGAAAATTGCGTGGGGGCGAGTGGAAATGAAGCTATCGAGTCACTCTGGCACTGTCATGGACAGAGGCAGCTGCTCATCCAGCCATAGATTATCTGTCAGCAGCTCCTCCTCAGCACGGAGCTGACTAGGGGAAGTCCTGGCTGTTTTGCATTGCACATGCTCAGTGCAAGTTTTCTTTCCCAGAGAGTGTCAGCGTCAGTGTTCCCCGGGCAACCCGGCCTGCCGTGGCTCTGAAACCCGAGCTTTCTGTGTAACTGTGAGTAAACTCTGCAGAAGTTAGAACACGTAGAATAGGATGGAGTGGGGTCAGGCAGGGCAACTGAGGGCGAGTAACTTTTAACCCCTTCATGACTGAGGCCCTTTTTTCAATTTTTGCACCCATGTTATATTCCACATTTTAGGCCTGAAAATGACGTAAAACCCCCCAACATTATATATTTTCTGAATGCCAAGACCCTATAGAATAAAATGGTGGTAGTTGAAAATTTTTATGTTGCGCAATATTAGCGCAACTCCTTATTAAACCCCAAAATTTAGTGACAAATTTAATTAAATGCCCCAAAACACAACAAATTACCCATTTTTTTAATGAAATATAAAAGATGAGGTTACAACGAGTAAAACGATACCCAACATGCCCAGTTTACAGATTGCGTGCGACCGTGAAACGGCGAAAAACTGCAGTACCCCAAAAAGTCAATAAAAGACACTTTAAACATGTAGGTATCTCCTACATGTTTTAGGGGATGTATTCTCCCGGGATATGCTGGCGACGTACACTGTACGTCGTCAGTCACGAAGGGGTTAAGGCCTGGCTAGTAGCTCAGGACCTGAAATAGATTGTTCACTTCTCCTGCCTTCTCCAAACTCTTCACCCTTTTGTGAATAATCCTGTAAATAAGGTGTAGGTGTGTTTTGTTTTTTTGTATTTTTGTTTAATTATTACCAGTGGGTGCCCTGTATTTATTTACATAGGCAGGAGCATGATATCTGGGGACCCCCGTTATTTTAAAGGGGGCTTCCAGATTCTGATATGTTTCCCCCTCACAGACTTTTCCATACATCCCCTGGGCCAGGTATGTGTAGAAATGAGTCCCTTGTTCCATCAACATTTGGACAAGGTGCCTTGCCCGGGGAACCCCCTTGCCACAGTACCATCCACATGTCAAGGGCATGTGGCCTGCTACTATTAAGAAGGGGGTGGGGGGGTGCACACTCCCTGCCCATTCCTTTCCTGCCCAGCAAGGCTGCACACCCAGATAAGAGTCTGGTATGGATTTTGGAGAAACTCATGCCTGGTATGGATTTTGTGGTCATCTGCATAGGGAGTGCACAATCATTCCCT